AGGGGGCGGGGGCACCTTTGAAGAGCGTGGAGCCGCCCGAGAGGACGATGTTGGCGAAGAGCGTGCGCCGCAGGTCCAGGTCGCACTTGTGGATGGCGAAGGCCAGCACCTCGTGGATGCCCTCGCTCTCGTCGCCCACCAGCTCCGGCTGGAAGAGCAGCTCCGGCGCCCGGAACCGCGCCGGTCCCACCTGCGGGGGAACGGGGGGGACGTTCCCGCAGCCGCTCCCGCCTSGGCGGTGCCCGTTCCCGCCCGCCCGCGCTCACGTCCAGGGTGCTGCCGTCGGGCAGCGTGTACTGCACGCGCTCCGTCTCCAGCGCCTCGTCCTTCTGCGGGTTGATGGAGAGGTAGCAGGCGCGCTGCGGGGACACGGCCGTCACCGCGMCGCCCCGCCGCCCTTCCCGCTCCCGCCGCCTTCCCGCATTCCCCCCCCCGCACCTCCTTGATGGTGCGCACCACCTCGAACTCGGCCGAGGTGCGGAAGTCGGCGCCCTCCTTGCGCAGCAGCAGCCGCAGGTAGCGGGACACGTCGCGGCCGGCCACGTCCACGCGCGTGATGGAGTGGGGCAGCGCGAAGCCCTCGTAGATGGGCACGGCGTGCGTGACGCCGTCACCCGCGTCCAGCACCGCGCCCGTGGTGCGGCCCGTCGCGTACCTGGGCACGCGGCGCCGTCACCGGCGGCTCCTTGTCCCGTGTCCCCCCCTCCAGCCCCACCGCAGCCCCCCGCTCACAGGCTGAGCACGGCCTGCATGGAGATGAAGAGCGCGGGCACGTTGAAGGTCTCGAAGAAAACCTCGGCCGCCTTCTCGCGGTTCCGGCTGGGGTTCAGCGGCGCCTCCGTGAGCAGCACCGGGTGCTGGGGAAGGGCAGGGGGTGAGACGGGGGTGGGTGTGCCCCCCCCCGGTCCCCCCGCCCAGGCCCGGTACCTCCTCGGAGAAGGTCTGCAGCTGCTCCTTGGAGTAGACGTACTGCCAGACGCGCTCCATGTCGTTCCAGTCGCGCACCACGCCGTGCTCCATGGGGTAGCGGATGCCCAGGAGGCCGCGGTGCTCCTGCGCGGGAGGCGCTCAGCGCCCCGCACCCATGGGTGCCCCCCTGCCCACCCCGTGCCGTACCTCGGCTTTGGGCCCGATGAAGAGGTCGCCCTCGAGCGCGCCGGCCATGACGCGCACGTGCTTGGGGCGGCCCACGCTGCGGGGGGACGGGGGTGAGGGGGGGCCACGCGCCCCCTGTCCCCCCCCCGGTGTCCCCCTCCCGTACTCACTAGTTGGGGAAGCAGTACTTGGGGATCTGGTCGCCGGCGAACCCCGCCTTCACCACCCCCGAGCCCTGCGGGGACGGGGGACGGGGCTCAGCGGCGCCGCGCCCGCCGCGGGACCCCCCTCCACCCGGGACGCCCCCTCCCCTGAGCCCCTGCAGGCCCCGCCCCCCGCCTCAGCCCCGCCCCCAGACCCAGAGCCGCGTCCCAGGCTCCGCCCCCTGCTCTACACCCTGCCCTTTACTCGAGACTCCCGTGCCCGCTCCCGACCTCGCCCCCTT